ACCACACCCGACGAACTCTCCCACCTTTTGCTGTGCCACAGCCCACCGCCCAGCATGTGCCTCTGCGGCCCAGCTTTAACGTGATTCCTTTGAACAGACTCCAGACATGCTGAATATCTCCATAAATGTGAAGTGGGTTGGTGTTTTTTTAAAAAATGCTGTTTTATTTTTTATACAAACTAAAACACCAGAGGTCATTGAATCCTATATTAAATACATAAATTAAAAAATAACCATTCATAAAACTTTACATACAATAAGGATTCTCTCCTACACATTAATACATATAGTACAGATACATGTCCAGTGTTTATCAAAGGGTCATTCTGCCAAGTCATTTACAATTTTGTTCTGGAATAGACACCAAAAAAATCTGGAACAAAAATTATATATAAAACCACAGAAGTGCTGATGTGAGAGACGGCAGGAGAAGAGAAAACCCTTTGGATCACCAGCAGCTGTGTGTCTGTTCTCTGAGCCCTGCTCCAGTCAGGAGAGCCTGGCCTGGGCACTCCTCATGGAATGGCACGGAACTGAAAGCTTTGGCGTTCCRATGTTTCCCACTGAGATGAGGGAGGGGGCTGGAAGATGAACAACATCTACAAAAAATTCTCCATTGTCCTCCAGGCACATCAGTAAGASAGGATGGAAGTGTGAGCTAGCCTGATAACACTGCAACAAGCACCATTCCCTACTGCAACCCCAATTTCCAAAATTCATCTCATGTAACCAGACCATCATCTGAAAGGCTACAATTCAAAAAACCGTATTCAAAATCTCCCAACTTAAGTCAGTGGGAAAAAAGCATGTCAAATTGTGGTCAAGTTGATTTGTACCACCTTCTGTGGCTCACCTGCTTCGGTGGGATGGATAGCCTGGAGCACTGTTCTACTCTTGAACAGTCTAGAACAGATTCATGGGAGGGATTCAGGGCTGTATTTGCTGTCCTCAAAGGCTGCAGTAAATTTATTCTTATTTTTCTGGTTGGTTTTTAGGAGTGGAGGTTGGCTGYAGTGACTAATCAGTGGGAGGATTTTCAATCCTTCGCTTCAATGAACGTTAGGAACAATAGAAAGCCAGGATTAACAGTCAAAGAACAGTGAAGGGTTCAGAAAAAAGGATATTTCTATATACAATAGGGAATAGGTAGGTATATGCATATATATGTGTGTGTATACATATATATATACATATATATATATATATATATACAGACATCAAACTCATTTGGATGGATCTAGCTGATAGCAGAAAGTTTGTAGTAACTCCTATCAGCAAGTGTATTTTAGGCATGGCATTGCACTGCAAGGAGAGTAAAGCAGTGGTGATTCAGCTCCCTGGAGGGATCAGTAATCTTTGAAAGGTTTGCAGCCCAGGTATACACTACCAACCCTCATCCCATCCTGAGCCCTTGGGAACACAATACCTGCATGAGTATGAATACACACAGGAGTAAGAGAGGGCAAATTAGGCAAAAAGGAGAAATTAAATAAGGTAACATGGCACARGGCGTCTAAAGGATAGAGCCTGCCACAAGATCAGCTGGTATGTTGTGAAACTGCGTATTTCTATCTATGCCATAAACCTTCCRTACAACTGCCTGAAATAAATGTTTCTAGTCCTTTTGTTCTAAACCAAACCAGTGGTGGAAACTGTTGCACAATCACTGAAACCAAGTGCTCATCATTCTTCTGCAAGAACTCAGTACTTCAACTGCCAGCCCTAACATTGAGGAAAGCAGCCTAAAGGTGTGAAATCAACTGGTGCTTGCAACATAGGAGAAAACAGTGAGGTGGTAAAAAGAGGTGGGAGAAACTCCCATTCTTTATAGTTAACAAGCAGTTGTAAAGCTTCTTAGGGATCTCCAGCTGTCACAGGAATGGGAAAACTCTTCCAGGGCACCACTCCAGAGCTCCAGGATGAACTGCTGGCTTGTGCAAAGCACATGTACATTTAGGTCAACCTTATCCAGTGTCTTCTGATAGGGAAAAGGAATTCAAACAAAAAGCATTCAAATGTACCTGCAGTACATGCCTGCCTACAAGCCTATTTCTTAAAAAAAATGAACCAGCAAACATACAGCTGGGTGCCAGAACTTGGTAAMCACCTTGGCACAACCAGAGTGCTTCAAGAAGATGTGGTCATCCTATCATTTAAATTAATTTTAAGGAGYAGGAAAAAAAAATCATCTGCTAGTAACTTCTAATTTTTGATGGTAACACTATCTCCTGGCACTCAAGAAATAAGGACGCTAGCAGTCTTTGTGGAGAAACTGAGYCCAGGATTGCAATGCAGTTAGGTAATTGGGTATTACTGACTAAAATCTATTCAGGCCAAAAAAATAAGGTATCTGTGTGTKGCAGGCATCCTTGGTATTAGAGGAACTTCTTCTTATGGCTAAGAAACTGCTTTTGATGTGCTGAGTTGCTCTGGCAAGTGACCTCTCTGCTTTGTGCCTCAGCTGCTTCRTCTGTAAAAGTAAACAGGCAACCAAAGGAGAAACTCTTTGAAAAATGCTTTAAAAGCTTCTGATGTGCGTAAGATGTTGGTACATGTGATCCCTGCTTTGAAGGTGTATATAATGCACAAGCTGTATTCTGGCCCTTAATTTTCTAGTCTGTAGTACTGAAATCCATTTCTTCAGTTAAAATTAAGGCTCCATCACAGAAGACACAGCCTTGCCACAGAAACCCAAAGTCTGAACAGGCACGACTCCGTTCCCAGGGAAATCAAACCAGAGGCACTGAGAAGTGCACTGTCAGCCCATCAGTGAGAAAAGGGAGCATGAAGCTATCTGCACTGCTTGCCTTGGCACGGACCCTCGCAGTGATTGCTGCAGGATTGTGCTCCTCAGGGATGTTTCTGACACASTACTGCGTGCATGGACCTATGACCTCAGGGAGCACCAAAGCCAGSTTCCAGGCTTTGTGATTAAAGAGGTAAGTAATGCTTTGAAATGAAAACTACTTTTAGTTACTCTTAACTGTGGAAAAATCTAAAGAGAGKAGCAATATTTCTTAGTTGTAATAAGGTTGTGTTCACAAAGTTTTTCCCCATTTTTGGTTTAGGTAACATTGATCAGGAAGCCAGCTAACAAAGTCAGTTGATAAACTGAACCAAAACATTTTTTTTTCAAGCTGGGATAGAACAGTTGGAAGCTGATGCTTTGTGAATCATGTCACATGGATAAGGGGATTAGCTTTCTTCCCTGCCTTGTCCTCCAACATTTTTCTTTCTCAGAAGTCCAGTTCAGCGATCCTCAGTGGTTATTCAAYAGTGAAAACAAGTATAGTCATTATTATCTCAATGGCAGTCTTTAAAGAGTATGCAAATTYCCGATAATACACAGGCTATTCTTCATGGAAAGATGGTGAAGAGAGATAAGGCTTCAAGTCCATCAGAAACCCTCCTTATGCCAGACACCCTCTTCACTGCTTCCTTGGCCAAGGCAGGTGGTGATGTGTTATGAGTTCAARCACAAAGCATGGTGACCTGTCCTGCACAATCTGCAAAAACCCAGACTGTTTTTTTCCTTTCTTCCTTCCACATTACAGCTGTCATTTGTTCCTGAGGTTAAAACCAAAGAGGGAGAGCAGGAGTCCCTGCAGTGAGAAAGCCACACAGTTCAAACTGAGCACTTTGCTGTCAACATCTCTTGAGGTTCTCCTATTCTGATCTGTTCATTTTTGATCCATTTGTCAGATGACAGGGTGACATTTAAATGACTGCCCTGCACAGCAGGGATAGATTTTTCTATTGTAACTTTGGTTCCATGCCCAAGACACACTGACTTGATCAGCTGAAAGTGGTTCCTTCCCTTTCAGTTCTTYCTAGGTGATGCAGGTTGTCAGTTTATTTTTCTTCCCCTTTTGTCATTTCAATATACAGAATTTCATTAGATGCAGCATATATCATAGCTTTAGACAGGAACTGTCAGGTAACAAATTTTGAGTGATGGCTTTAAAATACAAGGTGGTTGCAGTCTTGGCTACAGGTTGTTCATTTTTATAATTTTGAAAATAGGTGTAAACAATATTCTCTTCATCGAGGGGTGGAAGCATTTGCCTTTATAAGGACTCATCTGTGTGGTCGGGCACTCTGAAAGTTAAAAAWAAAGTTAACATCTGTATCAGATAAGGCCTAAGTTCCTCTGCCTATGTATCCCAGCTGCCAAGACACATCCTATCAGTCAGGAAGCTGAAAAGATCAGCTCCTACAGCTACCAGTGGGAAACTGGTTTTGTTTTTCTGTATGAAAATGATTTGTGAAAATTCTGTGTCTTTTGCTAAGCCTGTCCATTTAAACCCCACGAAGTACAATCCTGTAGTGCATGAAAGTCCCTATGGGCATCTTCACATTCGTAGTATGCACTAGTTTCAATGACTCTTGAACCAAAGCTGCCTAAAATTCAGCACTAACATAAGACATGCAGCAGGCATATCCTTGGGGTGTCAGAGCAAGCCTAGAATTTTGGCTAATGCAGCASTGAGACAAAGACAAACTGCTGGTGTTCTGAGAAAGCTTGATCTACTATGGAAAAGAACTTTGGTTCTTGGGTTTGAGACGAGGAGAAAAAGGGCATATTTTGACTTTGTTCTCTTAGCATTCAAGCCGACATAGTAAAATTCACTGYGTGCAAAACCCACACAGACCACACTTCCTTATGTGATCACAAATAAATGAATATGTATGTTCRCAAGTACAGAGAAAATGCAGGTAGGATAATCTCACATTAACAGGAATTAGAAAGCTTCTGGTCTGGATACTATATACTGCTGTGCATAATTTCCTTTATTTGCACATGCTTGTCCTTTGTTATTTCAGTMCAGCAGTGAGTTCTGTGTTCACTCTGTGTGAGAAGGAAGCCAGAAAGTATCATGTGTGACAATGGGCTCCTCTCTGCTGGTTAAAAGGTTGCCAAAGGATAAACTGCACCATGGCGTGAACAAAACCAAAGACCTTCACCATCAAGTGGCTCCCTAGGATGAGTTGGGCTTTTTGTTAATTTGTTTGTTTTGTCAAGAATCTGTTTGAAGTYGCTTACGATAAGACAGCTCACTTGCATCCATTGGAAGTAAAGCAATTCTGCAAAGATCCCCCTGGCAATGTACAGCTCAACAGTTCTGAGAAGAAGAAATGCTGATGGCACCCTCCCCATGCCATGCTCACCTTTGCTGAGTTAAATCACCTGGTAGGCAGGTGGTTTTTAAATGCAACTGATCAATTTTAGTTATTCTCTCCAATTCCATGTATTTCAGCCTTGGAAAATAGGACTTTGCTAAAATCCCTCTCCATCTTGCCAACACCGCTCCCAAATTGCTTCTGTCTGGAGATTTCCCCTCAGGTATTGAGGGGAGAGGATCCCATAAAGGAAAATGCAGACGTGAAGGCAGGGGATGAGGAGCATACCATTACCTTGTTTTTGAGGCACTGCTACAAGATTTGATCCATCCATCCATCCATCCATCCATCCATCCATCCATCCATCCATCCAATGACAAATTTTTTAGACCTCTCCAATAGACCTCCTTTCAACAGTGTCACTTCCTGAGCCAGAAAGATTCTTCCATCTCTTTCTTTCCCTGCCCATCTCTCAGCAGCTGATCATTCTTCCTTGCCCTTCTTTGTGTCTTTCCTGGTGCTGGACACAGAGCTCTACCTGTTCTAACATCCTGATCTGTTTCTTGAATGTTAGTTCAGAACCCATCATAATGTGTATAGAGTTGAGGTTATTTTAACGGTTTTCCATCTGCATCCCTTTGCAAATATGAACACTGCAATTCTCTTGTCTATCTGTGAAATTCCTTGCTAGTTTTTATTTTTACAATTTTGAATAGCACAATATCACCAGCAACTCAACAGTATGACAACACCCTACTGTGAACTATTACAAATTGACAATAACCTGCTGAATTCACTGACTCCAAACATCCACAAGAACACATAAGGATGCAATCCTCCGCTCTGAGCAAGAACTGCTAGCTTTGGGGAAATAAATAAAACAGTCTTACCTTTCCAAGAGGCACATTGACATCAAGGCCAAAGAATAAAGGCAAGAGAGAAGAACAAGAATAGAAATAGAAACTGCAGAAGAAAAATAAGATTGTGTAAAAATTGTGTAAAATTAATGGCATTGTAAGCATCAGAARTATTTTTGCAATATGTAGAACAGTTAAAACAATCATGCATTTGGAAAACACTGTTATTTCCCTAGTTATTTCTCTAAGTACCATACCACCTCTCAGGCTTAGAAAACAGATCCCATTTATGCCGGTGATGGATTACAAYTGGCACCATATTGAAAGCCCGAGGTGTGACTGTCACACCATGATACCCCCAGAGGYTGACTTAAGTCATAAAGCTGGATATCAAAAATAGCATGTGTAGTATTTTYAAGTGTGTTAAAAAACAGTGTCTGTAGTCCATGCTAGAAATAGCCTGCCTATATAAATATATATATAAATGCACATGTMTATAGGTACGTACACACACATACAATATCAAACACTTACCATTACATGTTTAATAATGTAATGTAGTATTGCAAGATTGAAGTCTGTATCTACTGACACAAACTGAAAAGAAAGGACAGTGACCACCACCAGCAGGTGCAGCTGATTGAGCACAACACAAAGGTTCCATAGTTCAAGRGAACTGGGTCACTTCTTTCAAACCAAAGTTCATCAGCATGCTTCAGAAGCATAACAGAACCAACCTTTTCCTCTAGATCCTTAATTTGTCTCTTTTGGATGTCAGTTTTATCTTCTAAATCTCGGATCCTCTGGAAATGAGAAAAGAAARCATCCATGCTAAATTCTCAGTAAATTTGTTCCACTGAACAAGTAAGTTAATGTTCCAAGTACCAACAGCCCAGAAATCAACAGATCCATTTCTGTGGCAGGGATAATCTGCCATCATGGTGTCATATCATGACTCCATCCACTCATCCCACCAAACCACAGCTTTACCACATGTGCAACTGCTCAAAATATGATCCTGCATATATGTAACTGAATTCTCAAATGCTGGAAATGARTATCAATGATTGATCTGTTTCTCATTATGTATTTATTAATCCTGTGTTAAACAGATGAAAAGGGTAAGATCATAGTTATGATCTTTAGAATTCCATCATGATTTGTAAGATTTCTCACAATTTGATGTGTTGAAAGAGGATTAAAGTATTATTATTAGATCTGAAATGATAAACATATCCAATACTATCAAGATTGATTCTTTGGTGAACGAGACATATGTAACTTATAGACAAGGTGTGGATTTTTAGCAGAGCTAGGTACTATAAGAAAAATTATGTAGCATGACTTAAACTTTTGCTTGCTTGGGAGAAGAGATCCCCCAGAACAGAATTCCTGTGTATGAAAAATGAGGGCTTGAATCTCAGTATCTTTTTTTCATTTAGTCAGGTCAATAAGGCAGCTGTTCAGCAAACAGCAGAAATCCAAAGAGGCGACCCAGGAGACACCTGAAGGCCTCAGCACCTGAGGAACAGATGGCACATGTGACTGTCTTCCCCACTGTCTGGAGAYGACTAGCTCAGGCAGGTTTCAAATTCTGTGGAASCACAGAATCACAGAATGAGTCAGGTTGGAAGGGACCACAGTAGCTCACCTGGTCCCACCTCCCTGCTCAAGCAGTGTCATCCCAGAGCACACAGCACAGGACTGCATCCAGTTGGGCTTGGAATATCTCCAGTAAGGGACACTCCACACCCTCTCTGGGTAACCTGTTCCAGTGCTTGGTCACTCACACAATAAAGAAACTTCTCAGTTCAGATGGAACCTCCTGTGCAACAGTTTCTGTCCATTGCCTCCTGTCCCACTGCTTGGCTACCTCTTCCTTCCTTTGCCTCTCAGCTGCTTCCAATCCTGCCTGCAACTGAGGCTGGCCCAGAGTTGTTCTGAGCAGCCAGAACTGCTGTGGCACTGTCCCTCAGGGCAGCTGTCATGTCTGAGATCAAGAAGCTCCTTACACTGCAAAGGCCTGGCAAAAAGAAGCAAGGGTAGACMCGGTCTCAAGTGCCCAACTCAGGATCGGCAAGGCTGTGGAAACTGAGCCTTCCTGTTAACCAACCCACTGGGAGTGTGCTGCTTCTCTTACTGCCATAACACTCCCATAACCATCTGAGTCACATCTGTTTCATGGTGCAGCTCTCACAGTACTCAACSTGCTGTTTGCCATTTTGCTCTGGGACCTCACAGCTCACAGAGCAGCAAACATTGGTCTCTGAAGGTGAAATACAGTACTCTATCTCAGCAGTGAAAATTACAAATGCCCACTTCAGAAGGACAGAGAAGCAGCATCTGGAAAAACAGACAGCTTTCCTGTGCCATACGAGTCAGCAGTATTTACCCTGTTTCTCTTGTGCCCAGTCCAGTAACTAGGGATGACCATTTTTATTACAAAGCTAGGTCCATGTGGATAGAATTCTGGATGAAAACTTTAGGTTAGAATTTTAAAATGTGCCAAAACAATACTGCGCAAGCTAATATCATGTGTGCTTGAATATATAGGAAAAACACGAAGTATTAGACAATTCAAAAATCTAGATGCCAGGCTCCCTCATGGCCTGGAACTTGTCTAAATTTGACCTCAGCCTGTCCTCGTACACAGCAAGGCTGAGCAGATGCCACGTGTGTGTGGCTCCATCTTCCTACCTGATGAGCCTGCTGGAGTAGCTCCATTCTCTCCTGAAGAATCTGGCAATCATACTCTCTGCTTTTCCTCAGCATCTGACGTCTTARCTTTTCTACTGCTGTCCTCAGCTCTTCCTGCTGTTTTTCAGTGAGTAGGTCCCCAAACTTTATAACAGTTTCTTGCTGCAAAGCATTGTACAAGGTGGCCTCAAGCTCCTGGATCCTCTGGTTGATGCAATACCAAAAGTTAATCAGAGGTTAAACATGGTTTAAACCACATTGGGAACTGGGGGGATGGTGGCAGTCAGGCCCCTGCAGGAGAGGCGGTCCCTGTGCTCAAGAGTGCAAAAATGTGAAAAACAGAACTCAGAAAATTGTTCCATGTTATGAAATAAGGATATGAACTTTTATTTTTTAAATATTTTAACATTAATTTTCACTGAAATCTTTCACTTTTACTCTTTTTTATGGAGTTAGAGAGATTGAGTTGGATAGAATTTTTTTATCTATTTTAAGTGCAAAATTTTTCACCAATTCTAAAATTTCAACCTACTRCACTAAAAAACTTCAGTTGGGCATGCTGACATTAATGAGCAGTATCTGCCTTTAACTGACAAGAGTTTTAGACTTCAGGAGATGTGCCTTTTTAGGACATGAAAAGGCAAGATATAGTGAGGAAACTGTGCAGATTGCATGCTAGTACATCAGAAAAATGAGGGAAAAAAACAAATTAAAAAAACCCGATTACTATAAAAAGGCTATCGCAGATTTGGCCAGTATGTGCTGCAGGATTTCCTTGGTACATACCATGTAYGCCTGGTCAAGAGCTTGCTTCCTGTAGTCTAATTCTTCCTCCAAATAACCCTTTATTTTGCAAAATTGCTCCTACAATGAAGTATCATTTGGACAGAAAAATGAATTAGTTACTCCAAATACTTCAGGAATTGTTATCAAATCATTTACAGATATCTAATTCAGCAGGATGAGGAGACGAGTTATCAACTGATGCTCTGGAAAGYTGTTGATATCTGACTCAGCTAGAAAAGAAGGAAGGGCAAATAGCTACAGATTGCTCTTGGGAATGAATACCTGATCGACATGGAACTAAACCCCTGCTCTCTCTTGGCTTCAGTGGTATTGCCTGGCATTTCAGCAATGAAATTCAGGGTGTTCTGTGTGATTTTTCTAAAGATATCTCCTCTGACATCAGGCATGAATCCTTTTGTGCTTTCTTTTATTTTGGAAGATGTGTAAAAGTGCACTAAACTGAACAGACATTCACATTCACATTACTTGGGGGCAGCTGCTGAGCTTTAACTTCTCAGCCCATCTTAAGCTGAATAGACTTAAGTAGAGACACCCTCAGAAACAGGACACAGTCCACTACAGCTGTCTACTTCTTGTAGTTATCTTGTTCATCTTGTRGCCTACTGCAATTAACTAGAATAAGCATAGGGTAAGGTACTAATTTTACTTAAGATGTAATGAAAGCAAAGACTGTTATAATCCAGTAAYTTCTCACATGCTGGTCCTGAATAAAATGCAACACAACAGTTGATGTTTAAACTGTGAATCTTATGAGACAAATAGTGCCTGCATCTCTGAAAATTACTGAGAAACCTTTGAGACCTCTGTACTTATTAATAAACAGTCATCCTCACAGAAAGAGAGAGCAAGTTGTCAAACTTCTACTATTTCTATTTCTGTTATTCTGATGTTGCATGTCAACTGGACCAGAAACAATTCTATAGATTTACCAAAAATCAGAGAAAGGCTGCATAGTTCATTTGCCAATAGACTTTCTTAGTWATCTTTTGGGGCATCAAGTAAGTGTGACACAATCAGTGTCCCTAAATAAGGAACATTTTCTTACCATATCACTCTCCAGTTCCATCATCTTCTGATGCAAAGCAGCTTCAGCTCCCTCGATCTGCTGGATCCACTGGAAGTAAGATGAGAGCTGTAAGCTACTGTGTTTTCTAGCACACMAGCAGTGGCAAGTGGGATATCGACAGCATCTTATCAGTCTGTTTTTAGCAGCCTATTGCTAGTGCTGGGCTCATCTTGAGGCTGTTTGTGACAAAGGCAGCCAAATCTGCAGGCAGCACTTGGCAGGGAAGCAGCAGCAAGAGGATTACCACTGCTGGGTCACTGGAAATGGAAAAGCACATGGCCTTGGATRGTCAAGGAACCCATTTCATCCCATGGATGAAGGCCCACAGTGGGGCTATAGCATCTCAAAAATAGCTTAGCTGGCTATATSTGAATTCTGTTTGCAGAGGAGGCATTGTTGAGTAGAGTCCTTCGTAGCTGTCATGTGGAAAAAACTGTCCTGCATTTGAGCTTCAGAAAGCAATTTTAACCAACCTCCGCTTTCTTTTTAATTTTTGAAACAAGGAACATAGACACATACTTTCAGTGAAATTTGGGCACACAGATGCCTTTGGAAGCTTTAKAAATCTCAGGACTATAAATCCCAAACTTTATTTAATTATGGCTTAAATTTTCTGATGGTTTCTCATTCAGTTTTCAACTGCAAGTTTTGTTTCATATTATTTTTGCATTTGTAGGTGTTTCTACTTCATACKTTGGGCCAGCTCAGTTTGGTATCTTTGCTGCTTTAGCAAGGTATTTGAGACTGTGCTGGCACAGTTTACTTTATTTGGGGAATCACTTCCAACACTAGAAAGTTTAACAATATTGATGACAACAACAGAAGAGAAAAAAATGTTAAATGAGGCTTTAGATAACATGAGAAAAGAAAGCCTTTTACCTTTTCGGCCAAGGACAATACCGTAGAAGCCTGAATTATGGCCACTTGTTCTTCATTCCTTAAATTCTGCAAAGAGAGAGAAAGGAAAGAAGAAAATTGGCAGCACTTTCCYGCATGAATAAAGACACCCCGCCTATAGACCAGGTCCACTGTTTTCAGTATTGCTTCCATTGAAACATTCTGAATCTGTTAACATACTAAGACCATTACCTTTGTCTTTCTGCCTGATATGGACTCACTGTATGTCTTCATTGCATTCCATCCAAAGAGAAATGTCAGCTAAAATTAGACCCTTTTTTTTGTCTTCATGCCAGTCTTACAAAGCTGAATTTCCATTAAAGCTTTTGTAAAAATAGTGCTGGTTTACATTAGCACATGAATAGACAATAACGATCTTTTGTTTTTAATTCTTGTAAACTTTTTTAAGACATATCTAATGCTGGTCAGAATACAGGATCTCTTCCATGTGGGCAGCTCTTAGAAAGCCACATGGAATTTGGTAATTCTTGCCTATTTATGAAACTGTTTGAAGGAATCCTAGTCCTGATGAAGAGTGGTTTACTCAGACTGCCAAACTAATTAATGTGTTTTCCTGAGTGAATGGGGTGCAGTCAGGCCCAGGTCCAAATATCAGTGGCCTTTGGACATTTCTCCCAGTCTGCTAGACCAGATGTAAAAGATGCACGGTTTAACAACTATCTTAGAAAACAGTCATAATTAAAAKTATCACTTACTGTACTGTACAAAATGCAGCTTGTGAAGAGAAARTATCTCCCATTTCAACTTACCCCATTATCACCTAGGATGTCTAACTGCTTTATGAGGTCTGGGATGCTGACATCCTGCAAGRAGAGAATAAGGTAAAGGCACGGCATGCATCTTTTATCTTTTMTCTATCAGGCCTCAATATCCATCTATCCTGTGAACTATGTGGAAATCAGCCATTTTGTTTTATCCTATGGAAATGCATCACACATTTATTTCATTGCATTTGAACCAGATTTTATCATTATGGCAAGAATTCTGAGTCTAACGGAACTGTGTCTATCACCAAAATCTTACATTAGATTGAAGTTTAGTGGAGTTATTAATAATGGGTTRTATGGGCAGTCCCGACCACTACTGTAGGGAGAAGTACTGCCTTATAAACTGACCTACCTTAACCCCTTCCTTCATGCAGTAGATCTGTAGAGCACTCACACCATCTGAGAACGGGTGAATYTGGAGATTAAATGGTGGGGACCGCCTTTCTCTTTCCTGCAAATAAAGTATAAATATGCTAGAGAATGTATTAGAATGAAGGAGATGTACATAGAAAATGCCATAGCTGCTGTTTATATCATACTTTGCAAAGACAAGCTCTTCATTTCACAAGTCAAGGAGAGAAACATCTAGACCTACTCTGAAAAAGTGAGTTAAATGGGACAGGATCCTAAACCCAAGGTAACTGTTTAAAACTCGAGATTATTTAATAAATTATGTCAGTTTGCAAATTGTCTGTGGAAAGGCTGTCACCCAGCTAAGATTCAAGTTATTCACTTTATGAAGTGTTGAATAATTATACATTGCAGTAAATACTCCCTTTAGAAACAGGTTTGACTTTAGACTGTTGGGAGACTTGGAYTACACATTCTCCTCATCCTGGTATGTTGTATGTTCTAACATCTGTGGAAAAAAATGCATTCAAAAAAACTGACCAACTTAGCCCTTTATACACCTTTATTGCTTAAAATKTACAAATATATGTCCAGTTTTAAAGCACCAGAGACAAAAATAAAAATCTGAAGATGYTATTTCTCATTGTTTTCAGGTACTCAGGCAAGCACAGAAGTCAWTCACTTTCCCACACATTTTTGGTTTATGAACATGTAATTCACTTGATCAGTTCAGCTCCCTGCCATATGGAAACACAGCTGTCAGGTAAAACTGTGGGACAGCTTTATAAATAAGAGGCAAATGTGACAAATTAATTTGTGAGACTCAGGAAAGGCTCTGTTTGGCAAGTGTATTCAAGGACACCAATTAAAGTTGGTGTCCAGTGCAAGTGCACTCATTTAATTTTCTACCAGCTCTATTGTAAGAAGCACATCCATCACCTCCAACTCAAGGTTGCGGAACTCCAGCAGCTCATTCTGGTCTCGAGCATCCTGCAGCTCCTGTTGAAGACGGTTGTTTTCTGCTTCCAGTTTCTCTATCTAACAGAAATATGTAAAACCACGATCTGTGAGACTGTTACAAGAAACATTAAGTATCTGGTGAGTAGTAGTTGAGTTAGCATAGGCTGTGCAAAATCTAAGCCCTGAAGATATCCCACAGGATTCAGATAACCCTTCTGAGTGAACATGCAAACCTTTTGAACATACCTTGTCTAAAAGCTCTTGGTTCCTCTTAATGAAAAGCTGCTTGTCTTCTACCCAATGTGAGTCCTGTTGGATGAAGAAGTACTGTCAAAGAATAATCAAATTCCATGAGACTGGGCACATTTACTGAAAATTAGAGCCACAATAGTTAGGCTTTAAAATCCTACAGGAACAAGCATATTACAGAACAACATATTAAGTTTATCAAGCTGTAGCAATGCTTCTGAACTTGCTACATTCACCTGTTTTGTGACTGGCAACGTTACATCTCATGGACCTTTATACTGAAATTGTGCTAGGCATTTAGTAAGTAGAGCAGGAAAGACAGAAACAGGAAAGAAATCACACWAGAATTACTTACCTGCCCTTTCTGAGCCAAAGTTTTCTCCAGATCTTCTATTTTGGCTTTATACCTCTGGACTTCAGCTTGAAGYTGCTCCTGAGCCTGTTGAAGTTAGGCACCACATCAGAGAGTAACAAAACCAGCAATGTGACTGGTATTAAAAGGAAACCAAAACCAGCAGAACCTGGGTTCATGCTGTGAGTTCCACTGAGTGAACAACCATTAGAATAATTCTGACTCAGTGAGGTTTTGTTCTACCCCTTAGACTGGCACGCGGGTGACCCAAGGAGCAGAGTGGCAGATCAGCTCCAACTCCCCACCTGACGCTGTTCCACCATGGATTGCATCAGAGCAGCAAAACACAAGCTCAGGTATTTGGGGTTCTCTGCTCAAAGATCCTAACAAGGGGCAATCCCTGAATTTAAAAAATTGTGCTTAGTAGATGAGAGTGGMAAAAGGTAGTGAGAAGAGGCAATTTTAACTGCCAGAGGAATCTTCAAGTGCTGACTCAACTAAGTACTAAACAAACTGATATGATCTCACAGCTGACTGCTTTGAGCAGGAMTTTGGGCTGGAGACTGACTGAGGTRCCTTCCAGCCTGAATGTTTCTATAATTTTATTAGAGGGACAACATTTTTAGCTTCGGAAGGTTTACTGTAGCCTGCATCACATTAAAATTTGCAGGTACTTTGCATTTCTGTTAGAAACATTCCCATGTTCCTAAAATTGATGCAATCTGTGCCTTTGTGAAAACCCACAGGACTTCATTTACCTTTAAAACCCAACCCCATGGTACCTAGGCAAATGATGAGAAAACCCTTGTGATTCTGCCAGGCTGCAGAGTTGTCTGCTTTGGCATGCCTGTGTAACTGCAGCATTTTCAGGTTCAAGTGGAGGACAGCTGCTTGTAAAATGAGAGATTATGTCCATTCTTAATTGTCACTCTCCTTAAAAATGTACTCAGCAAATGAGTGAACAGATATTTCTCTGTGTATGGATGTTGTAYATAGCTCTGTTCCATTGTCCCTTTCAGGGGTTTGTTTGTCCTGACAGCAATSAAATACTGTTACTCTCAAACAAATACTGACCCTGGCTTCTCTTTCAGCATCTATGACCCCTCCTGTCTGTTCCTGCAGCAGTGCATAYGCTCTCTGCAGGGCCTGGTACTCCTTGGTCAGCTGTCGAAACCGCAGCTCTGACTCTTCCGCTGCTAAACCCTGAAGAATAAGAAGGGACAAAGCACTGTGAAAGCAAAGAATGCAAGAGTGATTTGTTAAGCATAGTAGTTGGTTTACAGGCCTTGATTCMAATAGCTTTTTGGATCACAGTGAGCTTGCTATGAAATTTTAAAAATGGGGAAATCATRCAACATTTGTATCACAGAATCAGCCTAGGTGAAAGGGACCYACAAGGATCACTGAATTCAACTCCTGGCCCTGTAAAGCACCATCCCAGAGAATCACTAAGAGTGTTGTCCAAAGACTTTTTGAACTCTGTCAGGGTTGGTGCTGTGACCTCTTTCCYGGGGAGACCATTCTAGTGCCCAAACACCCTTTGGGTGAAGAACCTTTTTCTRATATCCAAACTAAAAKTCCCCTGACACAACTTCAGRCCATTCCCTTGGGTCCCCTCACTGGTCACCACAGAGAAAAGATCACTGTTTGCCCCTTCTCTTCCCCTCATGAGGAAKTTATAGACTGCARTGAGGTCCCCTGCAGGACAATCCCCTCTCCGGACCGGCAGGGATGATGGGCCTGATGCCCCAAGGATAGGGGTGGCCCCATGGCTGCCAGGGCACTGCTGAATAATATTCMACTTTCCATCAAATCCCGGGTCCCTCTCCAGCRCTGCTTTCCAGCATCTCATTCCCCMRTCAGTCCRAAGAKCCACGATGCCCCATCCCATGTGCAGAACCTGGCAGTTTTCCCTTGCTGAACTTCAGCTGGTTGGTGACGACCCAGCCCTTTGATTTCCCAATGTCTGCAAGGCCTCCCTGCYTTCSAGGGAGTCAACAGCTCCTCCCTGCTTTGGATCGTCTGGTAACTTGCTCAGTRYCACTTCTAGTCCTGTGTCCRAGTAATTTATGATGATATTGAAGAGCACAGGGCCTAARATGGAGCCCTGCAAGAACCCCACTAGTAACAGGTCACTAGTATGATGTCATACCATTCACTAGAACCCTCTGATATGTCTCTAAGCTAAAAGAAATGTGATAGTTTTTTTTACTTGAAAGGGGAAAGGAAAAAATATCACCTCAAATTGCAGTGTAATCATAGCTGTAGACTCTGCAGACTAGATTGTGTAAGAAACTCAGCATTTCAGTATATGAGTAACCAGATTTAAGGAGACTTGAGAAGTATTTATCACTCAGTATGCACTATAAAAACCAAACTGTTCTTGAGAGCCTGTCCATTGTTTTGAAAGTCAGTCTCCTGAAAACCTGTGCTTGTCTGTGGAAAGAGTAAGATCTTACCTCATCCAGGTCRTCATCTGGGGTTGCTGGTGTCCTGTCTGTTCTATATGAGGCCACAGAGGATGTTTCAGAGTCCATGGAATCATCATCATACCCAAAAACTGTATCTACCACATGTCTCTACAGAAGGAAAAACACGATTTCTGAACTTTCATGGAAACTCGAAGCAYGAGTTTTGGAGAGGGGCAGAGGGGAGGGTTGCTAGTTACTTAAAAAACAAGGTGTGAAAAATAAGCAGTAGGCTACTCCTGCATTTACCATCTTCAAACAAACTCAAAGGAAACCCACTGAAGATTAGGTTTTGCGCTGGTGGAGAATAAGTTTGCTGACGAATTTTTCTGAGGGTCTGTCTCAGTCTAATAGGAAAACATAATGTGARCAGCAACATGTTGAAGGAAAGGCTCTGCCCTTGTAGGAAGGCAGGTAAATTGTTAACTGCAAAGCTCTTCAGAAGACATCTATCMCATGCAGACTAGTGTGCAAAGGTAACACCATAAGGAGCTGGAAATGTGTGTAGAACAGGAAGCCCTCCTCCGCTCACAGATACTGATACTTTTAATGTCTAGGTGCCTCAATATTGCTGTTGGACCACATGAGTGAAAGCTGTGCTAATACAAAAGTAACATGAAGGAACTCTTATTGCATTTTCCAGGGCTACAGTAACTGAGACGTGTTATAAACAATTGCTCATGCTCCACAGTTTGCTTGTATGACCTCACCAGTCTCCTGTAGCTGAATTAAATCAAATGAAAAATGTGAKATGTGCCCTGTGAAGATACAGATGCTTGACCCTGCAGGCTTAGTTTCAGGGTACAGATTTGAGTATTTAAGCACTTGSCTTATGAATAATTCTGAAGACAAACTTATTAACGAGCAATTAAGATACACTTCTTTGCAACATTTTTCACTTTGCTTATGGGTTAAAGCGGTCTAAACCAGGAGTTTGAATCACACAAAAAAAAACATGTATCAGAGATGTCAATTAGCTTTTGCRTGTATTATAATTTTTGCTTATTGTGTTATCAAGCGAAGACAATTGCCATATTCGCTGATGTTATAATCRCTGGTTTAGAAATAAAATTTACTGATGAAAATACTCTTTGGTCCTTGCCTTCCAGTTGTGTCTGCTGTGTACTGCTTCACAACCCACACAGAAACAATGTGATGACACAGTTAGGATTTAGTGSTCTGAAATTCTCAGTGTGCAAACARCGTTGCATTACTGCCACAGAACATGGCTGATGCACTAAGGCATGTCCTTGAAGAACTGACAGCAACCACTATTTCCACTTTTTTGGAGGTGGGACATGAATGATGCAAAGTTAGGCTTCACATCTAGCTGCTAAAGGAGCTATGTGAACCACTAACTACTCAGCTCTAAAATTGTTGTAAATTATACCAGCTTTGGCCTTAACCCCATTCAGGGTGATACTATGGTTAGTCAAAGGCATGTTGTAACTGAGCAGGAAAGAATGAGACAGTATCTCAGGCTTTCCACTTGAAGAATAGAGATGCACAAGGATTTGGCTTTAGCCCATATGTGCTGTGAAAAAATAGCAGAAAATAGATGGGGAAGTCTCTGGAAATGTAAATACCTCTCAGCATAACAGAGTCTGAACCAATATTTATAAAAAAACAAATGGAAGGACAATTATTACTATTTTGGTGGGGGAAGAGAGGGAAGAAAGCCCCATTTCGCTGAAAATAAAGTAGCTRCACATCCCTTAACTGAATTTCAAAGTGAATTTAAAAAGCTCTCTTAAAGTAACTAAGGAATTTACAAACCTGATCACTAAAGCAGACTGTTACAATCTACAGAGCTCTCTTTAATCAGATTGCTAGAGTCCATTTTCTTACAAGCCTATTAGAACTTTGTAAATGGAAAACAATTTTTCATCTTACTTTAATTGGCTTCGAGCTCCTTTTATGCTTTCTGCGACGAATGAGTTTCTCCCTGTCCTGGAAAACAAGATTAAAAATTAGTCTCTCTTCTCTTCTTTGCAGCTGTAGAGGGCCAAATCTTCAGAGGAAATAAAGAATAGAAGTTCCAGTGACTCTCTCTATATGTTCAGACAGGAATCTGATTCCAGGTAGAAGGGAGGAAAATCTGTATGTGTGTCAGCTGAAAGCCACCTGAAAAAGCCCTTGTGCAGTTGCCTTGAGCAGYTGTCAAACAACAGGAACTGATGATTGCCCTCTAAAATCACTGGGAGGCCTGGCACACAAGACTGGTTTGGGCATTTGGGCATCAGCCCCTGGTATGAGGGGCTCTCTGCCTTTTCTGATGAGGAGATGCTGCCTCTGTCTCAAAGCCAAATGATGGCAGTGCTGATTTCACTACTCCCTAGCAAAGATGTCTCAGAAGAGACAACAGCCTGTTTTGAAATCTTTCTCTGTCTCCTCAATATCATAATGCAAAGTCAACTGACAAAGGAGTTGTCAGCATTAAATGACAGARTAACTGGAAACCCACTAACTGTACATGATTTTCCAGCACATGACATGACACTGTGCGTCGGCCTCTTTTTAAGGAAACCTTTCTAACATGACTTAGTTATGATGGCAAAACTAATASTTTTAGCACAGCCCCTACCTTGTGAATATGTAAGYACCTTSCCAAGTTCCACAGTTCTTAGTYTGCATTTCTTTCTGGCGCTCAATTYACAGCATTATGCTTTGAGTTGTAGGGACTCCACTAGAAATTCAGATAACCTGCACACATGCACACCTATATCTAAACATCCGCAGATGTCAGAAGTAGGCAAAGGTATTAATTATTAATTAATTAAAGGTAGATAAGGTGTTCATGCTCAGAACTCTAGTTATAAGAAGAAATACTACCAGTGGTGAACTGTACASAGCAATCATTCCTATTTCCTGGTGCTCTGGACGTACCCTTGTTAATTCATCAATTATGTTCTGYTGTTCTATGACCTGAAGCTTTAAAAATTCTGTTTCTTGTTCCTCATTAGCTTGATCCAGGTCATTGAGAGATCTTAATTTCTTTAGAGGAGGATGTGATGTTATTTTTTCTCTCTGTGGTAAGAAGATAAAACAGATAAAATAAGATTCAGCAATTAAAAGACCACCTTTCAGTTAAAAACTAAACATTACCTTTCATTTAAACTGTGCAGACCTTTAACTATGCTTCAGCTTCACCATTTTTTTACTAATACATATCAGCACTTCTTAACAATAAAAGTAGCACAGCAAGGCCGAGCTCTTCAACCACAACAACAAAGATTTATCTCTTTAGTTACCATGTGGCAGTACAGCCTCTACAACTCTTAAAGGTCACATACCAGAGCACTTCCTTGGCCATGCATCAAGATGCCCTCACACGTGGCAAACAGAGTTGARCCTGTCCAGTGGGTAGGCAAACAGCATCTACTCTCATTACCCCATGTCCTTACTGATACTCAGTGTMAGACCATACACAGTGAGGAAATGGACATGCTTTACTCATGTGAAAGACATGCACCCAGTTGGACAAGGAGCAAAGACAAAAACTGTGGTAAGAGATCTATTTTACCCACAAGTCAGTATCCTGAACATATGTGGGAAAAGAGAAGGCTACAATGTGTGAGAATTACTCTAGCCACACACAGCTTGTCAACTCCCAAGATCGGGGCATCCGCAGCGTGAAGAGCAGATGTCAGGGAGCTGACACAGAACGTATCTCAGCTCCACTGATGCCTAATGCGTGCAGATGCCTAAGTCCTTTCTGCTGTGGGAGACTCCATGGGACTGTGATCTGMACCACTGTAGCTGTGGAAGAATAATTCTGTGCCATGACACCTGCAATAAGTTTATCTGTCTTCTAGGCACAGGTAAATTGCAGTGTSTTAAAATGGATTAACCTTGTAACACTGAAGTCTTTTTTCTGTGAGACAAGTGACTCCAATCAGCTCAGCCTAATCACCAGGAAAGCTGCTCCCACTGCAGGACACTCAGCCCGCTCAGGACAGTCAGGATATGGTCCATGAGTACCCTTAGCAGGGGAAGTCCTCTCAGCCTGCCAGCTTACCTATGGCAACCCAGAACATACTYCTCCTTTTTCATTAATGCCAAAGCAACATCAGTGCATGTGCAGGAATCCAGGACCCGGATAGGTACTGATAATCAAGATAATCACATCTGAAGGATATGCAGRCGTAACTGCTTTGACCCTACTTCACAGAGCCCCAACATAGGAAATATATAGCTCTAACCAAATTTAAACACCACCATTCTCCCTTTCCCACATCCATCCACCGTGTGTATGTTTCATGGAAGGATTCCATGTGCTTASTGCCATACCAGAACTTTGATTTCTCATCATCAACACCGAAAAGAATGTGTACATGATGCAAGAATACAATGCTGGCTGAAAACATCACTCTTAACAGCTTCCTTTCTCAGTTCCAGATGAAAAATAGCAGAATAACACATGCGTCAATGATATAACTATTACTTTTCTTTTTCTTTCTTTTTTAAACAATTGAAACTTAATATTCTAACTTTGAGGATAAAATTAAAAACTGTAATTATGTATTCATGCAAATATATTTCCCATATATGCAAATACACAATGTTATGGTATGTAAGCCTATAATACAGACCTAACCATGGCTGTATGTCAGCAGCAGTATTACCCATTATATACGACACATATTCTCTATTTATATACGTAATGCACTATGCAGTTGTGGCCACCAACACAGACACAAATCATACAGTAATCCTCATTTTGCTCTTCAATACCAACCATTTCTATATTTTCTTTAGTGACTGCTTTGAGTTTATCTTCCATGCGTTGCAAAGACTGCATAAGTTCATCATTTCTCTTTGTGAGGCACTTGCTCTTTTCGAGAAGAGGTTTACATTGTTTCTCAGCTTCTCGGACACGCTTCAACTGGATTGATAATAGCAATTAATAATTGTCATGAGAGATACATTCATATAATTGTAATTTGCAATCTTGACACCTATTTAGCAGTTACGACATAAAGAACAATCAAGCCAGCTAAACTGATACAAAAGGAGTGCATTAAGATTCCTAGCCCAGGAACAAAAAAAGAGATCAAGAGTTGAACTTATCACCCTCATCCTTAAGCAGAGAAGTAGGAATATTCACTACTAGCTTCATCCTTGGATCCTCCCCGTGTTTGCCTTTCCTCATGGCTCTCAACCTTCTCTGTCTGCCACTGCAAAAGCTCACATACCAGTTCGTTTCGTTCATCAACGAGCAAYGTGTTCCTGTCTTCCAGCTTCCTTATTGTGGCATTCAGCTCTGCTATCCTCTTCTGGTTTCTGCGCAAGTCCTGTGCATGGGCAACAATGTCACACAGTTACTGATTCTCTTCAACATACAAGCTTGAACAAAGAATCCTTAAAAAACACACAACAGTCAACTTAAGCTGTCATCATCAATGGATTATTTTTAGGGACTTTTGCAGTACTGAACATGTTGGCAAATATATATATGTATTTTTTTAGAAGAAAGTATTTGGTTTGGGGGATACTTCAATTGAAAATTTTAAGCCATGAAAAAAATAAAGAGAAAACAACCAAACAGATGGTAATTCTTTATGATGGAGACGAAAAAGCCAAAAGATTCTAATTTTTATTGCCTTTTCCTATAGATTGCTTCTATTTGCTGAGCCACTACATCAGGGGAAAAGGTCAGGACAGCCCTTTTGGTATCAATTACATTTACTTTCTTATTCCTCATTTGTGTATGTGTAAATATGCTTTTATATATACATTGGTTGTGTAAACATCTCCAGTGGGTGAGTTGCATGCTTGGTGAATGACACCCAGGGAGTGGGGAGACAAAGAGGATATCCTCCTGAGAGTCTCACAGATTCTCCAACCCCAGCCTTCTCCCTGCCCGTCCCTGCTCATCCTCCTAATTCTATCTGGTTTTGAGGATGCATGTTATCCACGTAGTTACATTTGTCGATGATTCTTTCAAAGGGGCATTGATTTTTAAGATGGATTATATTTGTAAACACAGACGAAGGAACKGATGAAAACCAGCAGTACAAAGCTTTGTCCAACTACCATGCCCTCTGAAGATTCTATGGACATTAACTTGTCTGTAGTGAATGAGTGGGAATATTTTCCCAGGGCCAGAGAAGGTATGTCAGCAMGAAACACGCATCCATGCTTCTGTTTTGCAGGGACCAGTAAAACCCGCGTACAGGGCTGCTGCAGTGCTCCGAACCATCGCCAGCCCTTCCTGGGATCTCTCTCTTGGGACTGCTCATGTTACACTCTGCCTCTTTCACCAAAAAGAGCTGTTCATCCAGAGCTTCCTTTTGCAGCTGCAGCTTCTGCACATAGCCTGTCTGTGTCTCCAGTTCTTTTTCCAATGAAAATATGATCCTGTCTTTAGCTTTGATCTCGTCCATCTGAATGAAAGAAATAYCAGAACAGTATTACTGCGTGAAGACAATAGCATTTTTCCAATTTGTATTATATGATTTACTTAAGAGCAGTGATCGCCCCTCAAATGTGCTCTACCATACTGCACCAGGCCTGTAAAACAATACAGTTGTGCCATACTCATAATCTGGCACAGGAACACATTTATTGAGCATTTTGGCAACACAAGAACATACCTCCTGGATGCAGACTGTGAACTGGGGGGGAGTGATATCATTCTTAGCAGTTTAAATTACCATTTCTTTTACTTAATTGCCTATTATTGCCTATYACTGAATTCCAATTTTCAAGCCAAACTTTCTATCAATGCAAGCAAGTCCAGCTTCCCACATGACAGTGTATCCTGGTTCCAGCCAGGACAAGGCTAATTTYTGGAGCAGCCAGGAGGGGCACGGACTGTAAGTTATTCTATACAATCTCATATCATTTTCTGGAGATAGGGGAAGGGGTCCCTTCTGGATGGCAGTAGCATGGCTACAGTCAGGTCACAGGCTCCATGTTGAGCATTTTGCAAGTACTCGCTTTCCTCTCTCTTGTACATATTTGTTATTAATATTGTTGCTGTTACTGTTTSTTTTCTTATTTCATTGCTGTTTCCAGTAAATTAGTTTTATTTTGACTCATRATCCTATCTTTAGTTTTTGTGCCTCCAACTCTCCTCTCCAGCCCACTGCAGGGGATGGAGACGGGGAGTCAGCAAGCATGGTTTGGAGGGTCTCAGTGGGAGCACAAACTGGGGACTACTGTTCCTAAAACATGGCACAAACTGGGGACTACTGTTCCTAAAACATTGCCTTGAAAACAAGGCAACCTGCATCTTTGTGGTGTGGGCCTCTTCTTGTTCATTTTTCACAGTAATTACTGAAGGCTACAACAAGGCCAACACAAAAGGCATCTCCCCTCTGGCCACGGTTTRTTATGTTTAGTGTACCATTACATGGGCTGGAGAAACCAAAAAACTGCAAGTGCAGATGCAAATGCTCTTCATCGAGCCCTTTGCACTTTGCATGTATYAGCAAATCAGAGAGCCAAATCCTTAGTTACTACGCCACTCGCTCACCATCACARTGCTCTAACCGACCCACTATAATGTATTTATTGCTGAGAAATGACTGCAAGAAATTTGTAATACTTTTTCAAAGTGAGTTGCATTGCAGAATTCTGTTACRCAGAAAAAGCTAACAGACACAAAAAACTCAGTGCAGCTTAAGACAACATATGAACTGTTTTGATTACTGACCAGGCGTCGAATATCCCTTTCACTCTCCCATTTGATCTTAGAAATGGCTTCCTGGTGGGATTGATGCTCACTCCGAAGATCGCCTGCCTTGATCTTATCGGCCTGGATCATATTGTTAAGAGCCTCATCTACCTGCTTTTTGGCAGACTTCAGTTCAGTAATTTCCTGCAGAAGCTTAAGGCGCTCAGAGTCAAACTGTTTTCTGGCCTCTTCACGAGCCTCAATAGTCAGCGCTGTCCGTACTTTATCACTGCTCCCGTCCCGCAGCGCACACAGCGCTGATTTGAGGCGCTGGATTTCACTGTCTCGGACTTTCACCATTCTCGTCATCTCCTGCTCATGCTGTTTGATGAGGTTCTCCCTCACAGCCTGCAGCTCCTTCATTTTCTCCTCATGGAGTTTGGCTTTTAGCTCTGTGATCTGCACGGTCTGCTTGCGCTGYTCCACTTCACGGATACGCTTAGTTTCTTGAGTCTTCTCTCTTTCAAGTTTAGCTACCTACATTGAGATAAAATGACAGTCATCTGCTACCAAGGTAACGTTATCAAAACATGCCCACCCAGGCACATCCATATGCCAAACTGAGAAAGACCCTGCTCCATTTGAGGGTTAAAGGCTTCTTAAACTTGTAGCTCAGTAAAATGGAGTCTTTTCCACAGAAGCCACAGAGCATCCACMGTAAATGTTATACTGCTGGGAAATGCTGGGRAAAAGTTGGGAAAGGATCAGACCACTGTTTTGGGAGAGAKTTATATGGTATCTGTTGAATTCTGTGATACCACTTTTTCCACATGTTTGTCTACTTTAGCAGATACTTTTACTTAAAAGCAAACCCTTGCTCACCTTAGACTTCTCCTGATGCAGCTCAATTTGAATGTCTGTGAGCTTAGTCCTGAGTTCCTCATTGGCAGCCTGTAGGGCAACAATCAGTGCCTCAGGCTTYTCGCCCTTGCTCCGTCCTTTTTTTGACATGGTTTCTTATCAGAGAGAGTCCACGTGTTTATTTCAAATATGGACTGCCATATTTTTCAGTTGCTTTCAGTGCCACTTAGCTCAGTAACTGCAACTAATGCAACTACTGTGTGACATTCCTCAAGGTTCTGGACTCAGCTCCTTTGGAAGCCCTGTGAGAAATAAGACACRCTATTATTTGTCAATGGTCAACATGAACAAGTAAAAACTCTGAAATAAACCTGTTTTTCTCTGGACCCAGAGCCAGTATTTCAGTTCTTGCCAAGATAACACGCGAATTTGGCACCCCACTGACCCAACTGTCCAACAGAAAAGGGTGCTGTGATTCAGGCTGGGTAACTCTGAGGGGGTTTCCAGGTCACCACTGCTGATGCAAGCACCCTGGCTCTAGATACCAATCCTAACTCTAGAACCAGAATTTCAGAACATGGCAAGCATGATGCAAGTATTAYGTGAAGCTTTTTCATCCCCTGCAAATTTTCACAAACTTCCTGTGCTTAACCATCTCTGCCAACAATCTGCAACAATTTTAAGARAGGCATTTTCTACTCCCACAAAATGGGGAAAATACCTTGGAACTAGAGGAGCAGTTCCAGTGTTTACATGCTTGAAATTTCATCCCAGTAGCTAGACTGGATTCATGCTTGTTCACTGATCTGTTCTTAAGGAATATTTTAGGAAAATAGTATTTCTACTTACACTAATTCCCATCGCTGCACCAACTCTGTTAGCTACAAGGGGAACACTGACCACATACAACTCCCTATATCTCCAAAACCTATGTGATTCATCTAGTGGGATTTGAATGAATCCTAAACTAAGTATTTGCTTTGGCTTTTATTTACCAGRTTTCATCTATGTTTTGCATTTTTTCAGAAAAAAATTCAAGTCCTAATTRTCACATACCATCCTGTGTGCGTTATGTTACATAACAAAATACATAATTAATGAAAACTGTGATTAAAAGCATGATTTAATTATTTTAATATTGCATCGTAATTCRGTATGCTGTCAACCCAAAAACTCAGCTCAGACTTGCTGAGATTATTTGCACAATTTACACAACTCTGTTCTGCATTTTCTTTTATAGTCAGAAAAATCRCAAATTTCGCATGCTAATAGTTTATGCAGGTTTTATTCCACCAAAAGGTGATAAACAACTCTTTGGGACAAATCCTAACCACCCTCTGTTTTTGACTGCACAAAAATAACTGTACTGTAGTTAGATTTCTAATCAATACTGTAAGTACTTTCAGGAATATCCCTTCTGAACTGAGCTCACAATATCCCTTGGATATGGGGCTCTGCGCATGGAATATGGGATGAATCTGGTGCTGCTAGGCTGCTCATGCCAAAATAACCATTGGCCCTTGCTCTAAAACATGAACCAAAAGAACTCTATCCAAGTAGCTGGCGACTCCATGGAAACAGTAAAAAGGGGACAGAAGCATTATTGTTACCCACAGCAAATCTAAGCAGATTTGTTAAACCAATATTCTAGTATTCTGTGGCTAAAATACCATCTGTCTCTTTCTCATGCAGTTATTTCCCAAGAAGTTGGCGTAACACAATGCACACTGAGAACACTACCAGTGAAAAAGAAAATCCTGCCCTGTCCTGAAAGGAAACGGACTTTTCCAGAATCAGTACTTCTTAGCATGAAATGTAAATCGATACTGACTGGAGACTCTATTTAAGAATGGCAGGATCATCAGGACAAGGACAAGCTCTATCAACCTGCCCAGCTCACCGCCAGATGGGGGCCTAATAAAACATTTACATGGTTTTGTACTTTGTGCATTATTTTATGTAAGTGGGACCACACTCAACCACAAAACAACACACACCACCTGGAAAAGAAACACTGCAATTCATGGAGTTCATAGTATCATGCTCTCCATCATTAAATTTTGATTTTAACCCTCTTTAACATAACCCTCTTTTATTTAATTGAAATGCATATAAACAAGAAAACAACAAACAGTGAGGGAAAATTCATTCCCCATATCCTTCTCCTGAAAACCCTTCCTTTTCTTTCTAAGGCCATATGAACAATCACCTCGTCTTACAGATATCAGAGAAAGATATTTTACATTTACCACAAAAAATTGTCAGATATTTAAGTAATTTCTCTACTGAAAGCAATTAAGGTTAAATTTGGAAGTTTTTGCCATTTTTAACTCAGCTCTTCAGTCAATAAATGCAAACATTGGTTTCAGAACAGATCAGAAAAAAATCTGCACTCTGGGCTCCCACACYCACTTTTAACAACATAGATCTCCACAGCAGACTGTTTTCTTTTTTTGAATTCCTTATTTCCAACCAGATTACTACCTTCTCAGAGTCTCTTATCAGTTTGCAGTTCAATATAGCTTCAAAAAATGTATTTTCTTCTCCCACCCTACYGCCATTAACACCTTAAAGAACCTCATGTACACATTGCTCTAATTTCACATGCCCTGTATCCATCTTGCCTTTTCCTTCCATTTTCTATGAATATGAATGCTCCCATTACCATGAAGTTGAGCAAAAACTAAGCCAAAAGTTTGTCTCTTCACATCAGCTTTTAAGCAGAAATGTAAGCACATGTCATTTCTATCCATGTTTTAGAATCAAAAGACCTCTAAAAACAAAAACATTACAAGCAATGGTCTTTTGTCATTTGCGAACTGTTGTGAATCTTGCCCTTCTATCATATGGCAAAAGATAGGTTCCTTTGTCATCCCTAGAGTCTGTGAACTCTTTAAGAATGCTCTGAAACAACAGAAATCTTTGCCACCAATGGCACTGCTCAGCTGAGGAACAGTCATGCTTTGCCCATGTTCTTCAACAAAACAAACCAAATGAACACATACCATGTAACACAAAATATACTGACTTAAGTGGCTCTGCTCATAATGGGAAGAACATAACTTGACAAATAAACAACTAGGATAAAACTAAACTCATGTTAAATGCAGATTTTATCCTTACAGTTTACTATTTAAAAACTAYCCCTGAAAACTTAGAGGATAATATTTAGCTGAACTGTGCTGCTTTAAAAATGGAAGCACCAGTTTCTGTTTGTACRATGATAAACAAGGCAGCAGTATCCTCCTCCCATATAAAGAGGTGATGAGCTGGATTCTCAGCTGGAACAGGCGTACGTGTGAAACACCACCCATYAGATCCAGCTGAGATGCTGGTTCATACATAATGTGACAAAGAACAAGAAAAATTAAGATATTTCATTTATAAGACATTCAGGATACTGTCTCGAACATGCAGATTTCCATTAAGGCTGAAACCAGAAAAACATGACTAARAGCATCATTCAGATGGTGCTTGAAGTCCGGCAGGTTTAGTGTCCTGAACACTTCCCTGGAAAGCCTGTTCCAGTACCCAACCAAACTCTCAGTGAAGCAGCTTTTCCTACTGTTCAGTGTGAACATCCCCTGCTGCGGCTTCATTCAATTCCTTGTGACCTACTGCTGGTCACCAGAGTGAGGAGATCAGCACCTCTCCCTCTGCTGATCCCCTTGAGGAAGCTGTAGAGTTTGATGGRGCCACCCCTCAGCCTTCTCTTCTCCAAGGTGAACAATGCAAGTGACCTCCGCTGCTCCTCCTAAGCCTTGTCCTTGACACCTTTCCCCATCTTGGTYACCCTGCTCTGGACACTCTCCTAGTTCGATGTTCTTCTTGTATCGAGGCATCCATGGTGTCTTTTGATTGACAGAGTACTTGTGTCTTGTACCCTATTCCATCTCACCACTCCCAGATTTCACCAAAATTGTACCCATTCATAGAAAAGCTTTTAAAATCACCAGGTATTTAACTCACTGAAGAACCTATCMGAGCCAGCTTGAGTGCCAGCAGAGGCAGCATTTACAGCATAGCAGGCCTGGGTTTGAAATTTCTACGCAAAGGAGCAGGCCAGATCAATAGAAACAAAACCTGAGTCAGAGCAAAAGCAATTAACCTCACAGTATTGCCTGAAAAGGAACAAAACATACTCCTGATGGGCTCCCCCAAACCTTAGACCAAGCATGATACCCTCACCTCRGCAGAATCTGACCCAGCAAATCAGAGATGCTGAGAATGTGAGTCCAACACGTCACCTTACAGTAATGCACAGACAGCATCAGAATGCAAATGTTTTAAAAAATGCATCTCATTATTTCTTTTTTTAAACTAAGAGGTCAAATGAAAATTTTTTAATCTATATTTCTATGTTCCCAACCTATAAGGTATGATCAGCATCCTTTAAATATTTGCATTCACAGCAAAAAACAGAAACAGACTACAAATGTGTATTYGGTGCCAAAAGGTAGCTCAAATGTAGGATCCATACCTGTCATAAGCAGTCAAAATTAAACTGAGAGATGGCAATACAGTAATTTAAGCAAAAATTGCACACTAGTCCAAGAGGCAGGTTTCCTCAGTTAATGGCTGTGAAAAAGACATGCACTGCATATACAAAGAGATGGATTCTGCAGAGTCTGCGTTTGTGAGAATGTCTTCTCACACACAGATATGCCAGCCCCGGCAGCCCAGGACACGTACAGGTGCAATTGTGACCATTCTGCTGGGCAGGAAGCCTTGTGTGGGAGCAGCGGGACGAGCACAGCTGCACCGCGAGTGGAAGGGAGCGCAGGGAGCGCCTGCAGCGCCGCACCGGCCTCGCTGCCCTCGGGCTCCCCCGCGGTGCCGTCGCGTCAAGGCCCAGCCCGGGCTCCGCCGATCGCCCCCCGCCCCAGAGCATCGCATCCCTTCCCTTCCCTGCACCTGCATCAGCATCAGCATCAGCATCAGCATCAGCATCAGCATCAGCATCAGCATCAGCATCAGCATCAGCATCAGCCGCCGCACCCAGCGCGCCGCGCCCGCATCCCGCGGACAATGACCGGCGGGCGCACAATGCTGCAGGGCCGGCGGGAGGCTGAGGTGGCTGCGGGCTGCGCCTGCCACACCTCTCCCGCCATCTCCTCTCCATCACCAGCGCCGGCCCCGCTCCCGCTCCCGTCCATCACCTTCC